CTGGCCTCAGCTCCTGTGGCCACCCTCGGTGCTGGTGGCTAGCCTACCCGGAGTGCTGCTCCCTCTGGGCCGCAGCTCCCTCTCCCCCTGGGGTCTGGGCTGAAAGGTCCTCTTCCCAGGAGGCCCTTCATCCCCTGGTGTCCCTTCCCTGCTGTTTTCTCTGTCCTCCATCCCTTCTGCACGGAGCCCGGTGAGGGCCTTGTCCCAGCCCAGGGGCCGTCCTGCCCAGTGTGCCCACCCCAGCGTCTGAGCTGCAGGCCTCGGGTCCCCAAACCCTCTCACAGCCGGGCACCTTCCCCACGCTGCCCAGCGCTCACCAGTCCTCGTGGACTCCCAGCTTTGACTCGGTCCATGATGTGTGTGGCCCTGCGGGAGGGGGCTGTGCTGACCAGGCAAAGCCACATCCCCGAGAGACACGGCCCCCTGTGCTAGAGCTCCCCCTTCCCTCGGGTCTGCTCGGGTGGACCCACCACCGTTTCCTCCCTGGGCTGCCAGGCGGCTCGGGAAGCCTCGCCCTCTCCTGGCCTGGCTGTTCCTGCTGCCCAGAATGCTGTTCCCTTGGGCCGAGTCTGTCGCTGTTCTAGGCAGTGAATTCATAAGGCAGTACAGGCCCCCAGGGCCCTTCTGAAGTGGCCCGCTCACCCTGGGGCGTCTGTCCCTTGTCTGCCCTCTGAAGTTCAAATGGTTTCATCTCTGCTTGACCAGGGCTGGGGCTGGCATCTGAGTCGGGGCAGATCCAGCTCTTGGCCCCTGGGTTCTGCCAGCTGTCACTGCCCTTCTCTGGGCTCAGTCCCCTTGTCCTCGAGTGAGGGTGGAGTCACAGTGGGGTGTGTGGGACATTGTTGTTACCTGACATTTGATTCTGTCAGCTGCCCCCCTGCTAGAGAGGGGGCTAGCGGCCCTGTCCCGTTCCTCCTCCTCGTCCTGTGCACACGCAGCTGGAGCTTGCTCTGCGAGGCGCTGTTCTGGGCCCTTTAAATAACCCCCCGAGATCCTCACCATGGCCCTGCGGCAGGGACTCCACTCACCCTCATTTGCCTGATGAGGTCACGAGTCCTAGAGAGGTGGGGAGCCCCTGGCGTCTGGCGCAGGGTCCAGATGCTGTTCCCTACTGGCCCTGGCTGCCTACACGGTGGCCTCCCCAGTGTCCAGCCTCCCTGCATTGGGCGCTGATGGTCCCTGGGCGCCGGCTCGTCGGTGGCCTTCTTCCTCCCAGATTTCCCAGGCCCCACCCGCAGCCCTGCCTTTCCTTCCAAGGTGGGGGCGCCACCACCAGGGTGTTCTGGTGTCCCGAGCCAGGCTGCCCCCAGAAGTGCACCCCTCCCTGCCACAGTCATCTGCTGTTTGAGGAGCAGCCTCTGTGCTGGACCTTGTCGTCGGTTCACCACTGACCTGCCCCTGTCCTTCTCTCCCCTGCCTGCTGTCCCCTTGTCCAGCCCCGTCACTCCGCCAGGGCTAGTGCAGTGGAGCTGGCCGACTTCCTGCTCCTCTTCTCCCTAGATGGTCTAACCCCACCCGGTCTCACACAGTAGCTGTGGCACAGGTGGCTATTAAAATTAAAATTAAATTGCAAATAGGTTGTTCAGTTGCTGTGGCCAAGTTCAAGTGCTCAGTAGCCGCCTGTGGCTAGAGGCTGTTGCACTGGACACCACAGGCCAGGGACATTCCCACCGTCACAGAATGTGCGGCGGGACGGCGCTCAAGGCTGGATAGGTGGATCCTCTGCAGGCACAGCTGGCGGGACTCGCTCTGCTGAGAGCCTTCCGTGGCTTGGGGTGGAGGCCTGCCTGCTTAGAGGAGGGGTCAGCTGGGCCTGGGCCCTGAAGATCAGTGAGTGTGCCCAGGTGAGCAGAGGAGCCGTCTAACAAGTTGCTTTACCCCTCTGAACCTCAGTTTTTTCATCTGTAAAATGGGGGTGAATATTCCTAGCTCGGAGGATGGGGATGAGGGTAAAGCGTGTATAAACCTCCCCCGTCGCCTGGGACGTAATAAGCATGAAATCAGTGTTGACAGGAAAGAGGTGAGGCAGGGGCAGGTCATGGAAGGGGAGGGTCATAAATGGCCCGAGAGCAGAGCCATGAGGGCTTCTGAGCACTGCCACCCTACTGGCTGGCGCCTGAGGGTGCTTGGCCTGACCTCCGGCACTGTCCAGTAGAATGTTCTGGGCTGCTGGAAATGTTCTGTATCCATACTGCCCAGGGGTCTCTGGGGACCAGAAACTGATATCTTGGGTGGGACTATAACCCATTTGGGGAGGGGGTCACCCTGGCAGGGGCAGGTCCCAACCTTGGGAACCAACTTCCCTGGGCACTTGCCCCCCACTCAGTGGGAGAGTTCTGCGGCAGCCAGCAGGTGCCGGGGTCGGGCTGAGCAGGGGCGGGTTTGCAGGGAGAAGGGGCCAGGTGCAGGGGGAGGGTGCGGTGGGCCCCCATGGAAGGGGCTCTTTGGGGCAGGCTTTGAACAGAAGCTTTCAGGGAGGTCACCTGGAAATGGCCAGGAGGGCTGGGTACTGCCGGGACCTGGACCCCAGTCTGCCCACACCTGCCTGGCTGCAGCATGGCCTCCGTCTCCCCGCTGGGCCCTGGTTTCCTCACCCAGCACGGGCACCTGGCAGCTAGTCCGCTTGCCCCAGAGGGAGCAGGATTTGCAAGAATCTCTGGCTACGCCGGGAAGATGGCAGGCCTGGCCCCTAAAGCGGATTTCCTCTCTCTGGCTCTGTCAAGGAGCAGAATCCCTGGGGCAGGACATCATGGTACCCAAATTCTTCCCTCCGCCCAGCTATTTGTGTTTTGTCTGGAGAAGGACCCTCCCGTCTGCAGCCCCCTGGAACTCGGGTCTGCTGGTCAGCAGGTGTGGGAAGCTGGGGTGCCTCGGTTTGCATCTGTCTCAGTCCCCCCCGCTGAGCAAGCAGCTCCACTGCTCCGGGCCTGTGTCCACCTGCAGAGTAGACGCACACCTGCCTCCCAGGGCTGGGCCCAAGAACTGGCCCCTAATCTCTCTCCCCTGTTCACACACAGCAGGGCTCGGCAACTTCGGTGGTTAGCCTGGATGATACACTGGCTGTAGTGTGGCCATCAGGCCCTGCCTGGCGACATTAAAGGACAAAGCCACAGGGCTGAAGGGACAAACCCAGCATCGGTTTCCCTCTAGTCTCGTTCCAGGATCTGCCCTGTCTGTAGCCACCTCTCCTGCCCACCATTCTGGGGGTGGGAGGGTGTCACGAAACCTCAGGTTGGAAGGACTCTTGTTGGTCTCGGAGACCAGGGGAGGTGGGCACCATCTCCTGGGCCTCTGGCTTTCTCAGCTTTACACCAGGAAATGAATCAGAACCCACAGTGAGGACCCCAGGGAGGCTGACGTGGATCACAGAGCAGAAGGAATGTCCGACAGTCCAGGGGGCTTGGGGTTGAAGCACGGGGGCTGGACATGCACAGGCCAGACTCGAAAGTAGCAAGGTCACTGGATCCAGGAACCCTCTGCGAGGTTCCAGATGCTCTGGGTTCTGGCCGCAGGTCTTTTTTTTAAATATTTTTAAATTATACATGAACACAATTTTTTTTTTTTTTTTTTAATGTGGTGCTGAGGGTCGAACCCAGTGCCTCGCATGTTCAAGGCAAGCGCTCTGCCACTGAGCCACAATCCCAGCCCCCTGGCTGCAGGTCTTGAAAGCCTGATGAGTCACTGAGAAATGTCCCTTAGGATGGTGGGGGCCACTTAGTGGCAAGCACCCCCAGTTGGCCCCATCCTTTAGCAAAGCCAGCCAGGAGCAAGGCATGTTCCTGCATTGGGTTGACTGA